AGTTCACTTCTGTAAAGAACACATAGTAGCCACGTTACAAAAGCTGGCCTTCAGGCGAGGATTAGCGGCAAAATGCAAGAAAGCTTGGGTCACTAAAGAACCCATTTTAATATATTGTAGATCTAGAACTGCAGCTTTGAGAAAATTTATCGTTACGTTTCAAATATTGGCGGAAACATCGAAAAGTGTTGTCAGAAGTATATTTTTGTTTTTTGACAGAGTACTTTAGCATAAGAATGGGTACAGATGTCCTCACAATACACGGAAGCGCATACAAGAAGAGCCCCGATAGAATGCACATGCACGGTATTTGGGCCACGTTTTGCTGAAAACATTAAAACGCGCGAATGTCGTCTACTGCATTGCAGGCAGAATCTAAAATCGGAGCCCCCGGGGCGACATCACACATAGCATCGGGGTGATTTTAAATATGCTTAGTGAAGCAAACAATGTTTCTCAGGAAGATTACTTAAAATTCACAGAGTTTTTAACGCATTCTAATAAGACAATCTCTAAGCCAAAGCCATCTTTGTTGTTTTCTTTTTCTTCTCGGTGTATTTATTTATCCTCTCCTCCGAAAGCTCTGCACCTAACGTACTGCCTCCAAAATCGTAGGTATTGAAAGCTCCCTACACATCAGCTGGTTTTACACTGCCTCCGTGATCAGCCCACTTTTGACCAAGTGAATATGTCAGCTGATCACGCCATTAAGTGATGTCAGATTATGTGACTTCTTGATGCCGTCAGAAATTTTGGCAATCCGTGATATGATGATGCTGTCATAGGGTGATATTACCACGTGATGGGAATTTTTTTTAATCAATCATGTTTACGAAGGCGCCATCACCGGTTTACCTTCGCATTGATGAAATCAATGTGAGGGGCTGTGGTTCCTTCGCATTTGTGAGAAACCAAAAAGGAGACCCGGACCCGATCATCTGGCTACATCCAATGTTAACAGAACAACTGAGTGAGCCAGCAGCCGTGGCTCATGTTCGTGACCACGGCCCTTCTTTCTCATTTGTTTGCGACACACTCCCGCGGACGGCAAATTGTTGTCCATCTCATATATATCTGTCGCTTTCGCCATACAACTCAGGGTGTAGTACGTCACCGCGAAACGGCTCACTCCAGTGTCAGCCTTGTTTCACCGCAGAAGGACGGATGTGCGCGCAGAGCCCACTTAGCCGGAGTCCTCGCACGTCCCCGGTAAAGTCAGTGGCAGCGGAGAGGATAAAAAGTCCGCTCCCATCAATTGTGGTCTTTCTTAGTGAAACGACGTGCCAGAACCAAAACTGAGTGTACGTGTGCATTTAGGTTGGACGGCGAGGACGAAGCACAGGCATGCCCTGTCTCGCCTCAGGCTCATCTGGTTCCTTTCGTACTCCTTAGCAGCTTTAGGCCTTTTCTTTTTTTTTCGTCGACCACTCGGTTTCTTTGTGCCTGTCCCTACAGAGTGCCTGCCAGTTCTCTTTTCGTCGAGTACTAAGCTAGCGAAGAGCGCTATTTTCTCTCACTTTGGGTCACTCACTCGCTAAGTAAGGCAGCGTGGGAGGTTTTTGAAACTCGGGCAAGTTTCGATGGTGTGTGTGTTCCCATGCGATTTCTAAAAGCCTATTAGTGAGATAGAAACAGCGAAGTATCCACGTGATGCATTTCTTGATACCTGTTTGATGATATTTGGCAAAAAAAAATCACGTAATAGTTAGTCAATGGTCTCCGTGTTTCAGTACATCGTTTGAAGATTGAATGTTGACGGTTGAAAGGGACCACCTGTAAAGTTCAGAAAACAAATCGCAAGCACAGCCTAACAACTTACATAGCAGATGAGCGCATAGCCTCGAGTATTTGTGAGCCCTCTCTGTTTCATTACGCTGACGTCAAATTGTCGTCATCGGTGATACACATAGTAGCCGCGGCAAGTCGCCTCCTCATTTGCGGCTTCATCATTGTAACCCTCACCCCCAACAGAGGGAGAGACGTGGTTTGCCATGAACGGCCAACAAACAGCCACACGAAATAAGGGTCGTAGTTTTATCGGTCATACACATCACCATGAACATTGTCATTCTATATAGATAAGAAGCATGATAACGTGCGTTCAGGTGAATATGAGCAAACTCCGAGCCATGACTACTGTCACTAGCTCTTACAACGCTGGCATGATGTGCAGAAACAGTTCGCGTCATGTCGCTTGTTTCTCGCTTCAACGATATGCATGTAAAATCATTATCAATTGCTGGAGTTTAACGTCCCAAAACTACGAAATGATTTCAGGGATGCCGCAGTTTCCGGACATTTCGACGTCTAGATGTCTCTTGACATGCACCTAAATATAAGTAGACGGGCCTTAAACATTTGGCAGACATCAAATATGAACCCGTCGCACACGGATCCTATCTTATTTATGTAAAAACTGTGGAGAAGGTGCATGTAAGGAAGCGTGTTTCAGCTCCACTATAGCATGAAACCACATAAAGGGCAGAGCTTGCAGTGTGCTCCAGTATTTCCCCCTGCAAATTATTTACCCTAAAAAAACGAGTACTTGGGGAGTATTCCTGCCACACAATAATATTCGTCATCTACTTCCCCTACTTATCTCACGTTATGACCACGGTTCCGGTAGTTGGCGGTCAAGAACGGTACGTACGTTATCAGTGTGACATGGCACTCTTGACAGGAAAGTGGCGAGTGCCGTGGTTTCAAGAAAGGAAACGCGAGACAGTCAGATGACGTTATTGTTGCGTGGCAGAACTCCTCAAATACTCCATGTTCAAAGTACTTACTCTTTACTGCTTGACTCCCCATTGGTACACTAACGCACCTAGATATTGCAGGTATAATTCGAAATGTGCTATTTCGAATAGATGACTTCATCGTATAGAGGCATGTTCGCGTCTCTGGTTTCAGATAAGAAACTCAAGTGCCTTGATGAATTTCTTCGGAAATTCTGACACCGCTGCTGAGCCAAATCTAATATTTTAGGCAGTAACGACGAGCCTTTAACTCACATTACGCATAATAGTAGGGTTTACTCAATTTTTGTGGTGCATACGCTTAAATGGTGGACCATGACGGCGACAGGACATGCCGACAAACTGAGAGCCTAAGTCACTTCGCCCCCTAAACGAATGCCAGCACTGGAAACGCGGGATGACATTGTGCATGAAGGGCACCCCGAGCTATTTCAGTTCACTCAGCCATTCCGACAGTGGCGGATTCCCTGCACGTGCATGTGTGTGTTTTCTAACGACACCTTCACTGTGTATTGTTTACATTATGAGAACTAGAAGTCTTCCGCAACATTGCTATGCCTTTTTCAAACAATTCAATCACGACACCCTACCAGTTCAGGAATTAGTTTGGAAAAGCAAGTATATTCATGATAACCAGGATGAACATGAAAATTTAATAACTGTTGTGGTTTTATGAGCCAAAACTATCCTTAGATTATGAGAATCACTGTAGTCAAGGGCTCTAAATTTTCCAGCGGCAAAGCTCCTTAAAGCGGCACGCATTCGTCCCTCGTAGTAGTATAGTAGTAGTCGTAGTGTGTAACCAGTCTTAGATTTTGAACTCAAAAGTGGTGCCGGTCGGATATTTCGTCTGTGCGTTGTTAAACAATAAAAAAAATCGCAGCGTGTGCGTTAACTAAAAGCCGAATTCTCCTGTCTCTCATTACCCCTTAGCAGCCATTGGCATGTACATTAAGCACCATCTGACAAGAAAGGGTTGCTACGTTATACTTGCTGGGTGTAACCTCCTTGGTTTTAGAAAGGCTTAGGGAGCGTTGGGCCGTAGTGCCATGAATACAGTGAACTAGCATATACCATGAACTCGAGGTGGTTAAAGGTGGGAAGTAGACACGAAGCACAAGCCGTAATAAAGTGTGCGTGTGCCTCCTTTCGTTCAGTCCTTGGAGTGTCTGCTGGATGATGGTGCTTCTATATGAAGAATATATTGATACAAAGTGATGAAAAGATGATGAAGTGATGATACAATATGATGAAAAGATGCGAGATGGTAGTACTTGGAGTGTTGAATAGGTGGACGAATGGACACACAGACATATGCATAGATGGACGCGCGGATGGCTGCACGGACGGATGGACGCATGGGCGGACGCAGGAGTGGATGCATGGACGAATGCAGAGACGGGCACACAGATGGACGTGCGGACGCACGAACAGACGCACGCACGGACGGGCAGATGAACGCGCGGGCGGCCACACAGACGCACGCATGGACGGACGGAAGCAAATACGAATGGGCGGACGGATGCTTCGCCCCACTCTCCATCATTCACACTCCGTAGATATGCTGCCATTTTATACCCTCTGTAGTATTATAACGTGCCCCTCAATTCCAGCTCACGAACCTTCGTGGCTGGGATTCGATCCCGCGACCTTCGAATCAGTGGTCGAGCACCATAACCGCTAGAACATCACTGCCGGTAAATATAAAATCAAGATACAAGAACATCCAAAGAACTGCTAAGGTAGGCGCGTACGTCAAGCTACAGAATCCATCATTCATCAACCCATCAGCATAATCAGCCTGACTGTACCCAACTCATGGCGAAAGCCTTTCCTATGTCCCGCTGATCAACCAGGTCTTGTGTTTGCAGTGGTCACGTCATATCTGCGATCTTATTGATCTTATCTGCCCACCTAACATTGTGTCCCTCCGCATGCGTTTGCTTTTCTCTTGGAGTACAGTCTGTTCCTATTGATGATCAGCGGTTTTCTTGCGTACGTGCTTCATGCCCTGCCCATGCCTACTTCTTGATTTCTGACCCACTATATGCTCTCTTCCCTGACCCCGTCCCTGACACTTGTTCCCTGACCCACTCTGCTCTCTTCTGGTCCCTTGAGGTTGCATCTCTCATTGCTCTTTCTATTGCTCGCATAATGCAATCGGGTGAATGTTATTGACTATAGACGTGCTCCGCTGCCTCTACTTTCACCTTTTACATTGTATGCAACTCTTACTCTTCGCAGACGCCATCGTGACAATCCTGATGCTGCTGAACAGCTTGAACAGCTGCGTCAACCCATGGATCTACCTACTGTTCAACCGCAACCTTATGAACGCCCTCAGGCATCAGGTGTGCCGCTGTCCAGCCAAGAATGTCAGTGCTGGTCTGGCCGTGAGCGGAATCGTTCCAGAGGTTACCACACAGGGAACCGAAGCCAACGTGACGATCATTCAGCAGCCCTCGTTACAGCTACTTGCAGATTTTGATTTCCCTGGTGGTCTTAGGGGACAGCGCGCCTGCTGCCGCCCCAGAATGCACACCGAAAAGAACGGTGTCTCCTTGGCAGAGGCGATTGCAATGGCTCCCTTCACTCTGCAAGCGACGAGCTCCAGCAATGGAATCGGCGGCGGACAATATGTGCCGTGCCAAAGAACTTGAGGTGACAAGCTTTTCAACGCACTGTCATCGAGTTTATACCCTTGTCGATTGCGCTACACGGTCAAACCTCATTATTACAAAGTCTCATATCATACGACAACTGATTCGTTATATGCTGGAATTCAATACAAATGCACCATCGTAAACGAATGCTTGTGGGAAAGCTAGCCTTAATTCGCCTCGTTATAGCCAATCATTCGTAATACCAATGTTTCTTATATCGAGGTTTCATCGTGCTGTATATCTGATGGTACGCAAAGGAATCCTCGCAAATGATAATTACTTATCAAATGTTGAAGGAGCAGTGCATTGAAGCGAGAAAAGCGGCGTGAGAGCGAACAAACGCTTATTCTGTACAAGCCCAAGGACTGCGGCCTCCTCATTATAGGTAATACAAAGTACTTAAATTATGGAACCGGCAATGACAATAAAAGGCACGCCATAGTTGGGTCCCAAACCCCCGTACACGAGTGTTTCGTACTTCGTCTCCGCTGAAATACGGCCGCCGTGACATAGAATCTAACCACCATCCTCAGATAAACCTCAGCAACTAACTTCCTTCTCGCTGGAAACAAAAGAAACTCCCGCATTGACTTTATTCCTGCTTTTAGTCGCTTTATTCTGTCCACTACGGCGCTTCAAACGTACCTTATGATGACTTTTCACCAACACAACTAATTTTCGACCTTGTCGGGCAATTTATTGGCTTCTTGCAAGCAGTTTTATTCGCTCCAGCAGACCCAGCAGTCAAGTTCTTTTCATCTCTAAGGTGCACTCTCAATAGGATTGGTATTACACGCAGAGTTCTCTCGACTTTACAGGCTTCTTTACGAAAATGGATCTACTGTGCGACTTCCATATGGTGCGAGACCTTAACAGACAAGAGGAAACATGCCTGCGCCGCACCGCATTAAACGCTGCCTATACTAACTGCTTTAAAATCAAGGTTAAACTGTCGGACTCGCCATTGTGTAACGTGCCAGAAGACTTGAAACATGTGCGTGAATGCAAGTGATACACATTGGAGAGAGTCCCTGAAGGTGGCTCGTGCTTTTGGGCCCATGGCAAAGCATTTTGGGCCCATGGCAAAGCAGCACCAGTGCGTTACTCGCCACCAAAGTATTTTGACTGTCTTACGGGCCGAGAACTTTGACTGAGCTTTGTAAGCAGTGTAATTTATGTGTGTGTGTTCATGTGTCTGGCTGTATCTGCTATGGGATTACCAGTGTACATATTCCACTGATCACCCTTCTCGTGAAGTAGCATGTGAGGCGAATGGCCAGGCTAATATCGCCAGCTCTTCATTAAAGCATTTTTGTATTTCTGTAATGTGTGGTAGCGAGCTCGAACTAATCGTAATCTAAGCATGGAAATGATGACTTTCTGGCGTAGTCGTACCGAAAGCCTTTGTTATGGATGAAAATGTGTCACTTTAGTATTAAACACGATTGCATGGTTCACTTGAAAAACGGGCTCGTTCAATCTGGACTGGCGATGTGCCTCTTTCACCAGGTGCGTGTACACGGAAGAACAATGTGCCGTTCTTGACCACGCTTTAGGACTGTGTAACTGGCATGAAGGAAGAAACCCCTCTTTTCTCGCCTTGAATATCTACGAGAATATTCACGCCGTGTGTTTATATGTGTTTAACGATTCAGAGTATGTGGCACTCTACTACGAAAGGGTAGGAAGCCGTCCTAATAATACAGAGATGAACGAGCTGTGTGTTTAGAAGAAGTGGTTAACGATTTACAGTAGTTGGTACTCTACTATGCGAGAGCTGAAAGCCGTCTGAATGTCACAGCTTTCCAGAAGAACACACCATATTTTGTAACAAGTGCTAACCAAACTTGTCCTATTGTTACTCGCTCAGGTTATTGATGCCTGGTAAGGAGAACTTGTTTAGCGTATTAAACGTTTAAGTTGTTTAAGTTACTTTTAAGTATTAGTAAACATGTAAGTCATTTTGACTATATAATTTGCATGTGATGTCAGCCTACGATATGAGGGAATCGTAAGCACGTCCCTTAATTTCTGCTGTTTGCTGTGGTGTTGCACTAAGACGCTACATAACAGTACTATTGGTTCGCTCTTTCGCTCCTTTATAACAGCTGACGAGACAGCCTATTTCACTAATTCACCTCAGTATATTCTCCATGACAGAGAAACTTCTGCAAGTGAACTGTACATTACCATGTTAACTTCGTTAAATTGTTTCCGTTTGAATGTTTTTCCCTCTACTTTTTTTTGCATTTTGGGTCACCACTTTCTTTTTCTTCCTTTTTTTCTGCCAAACTTGCAGAAATTGGTCAACCTCTGCGTAGCAAGCCGGTTGAAACAGAACGCAATGGAAAAACACTATTGCTATGCTCAACTATTTTGTAAATATTTCTACATGAATTCCAATCTTTAAATTATCGCCGCTAAATATTACGCGCGTTGCAGGACCTGAGAAATAACTATAGGCGCAACTTACTGTGGAAAGCGCTGTATACGTGTTTATCCTGTATCCCATCACCTTGTCATCATCATCAACATTGTAACAACGTCTTTCTGACGTCACCTGTGACGAAATAAAAGTGTTCAATGACGCAGCTCTGGCAGGGCTACAAACTATCTCCCATTCAGCTACACCACTGCTATTCGATGCTCATTCAACTCAGTTGAGATTATCCAGGACAGAAACATTGTTTAGAAAAAACGTTGATAAATAGAGTTCAAAAAGTGTTATGTAGCTTTCTCGAAAGTCTTATGGAAGTCCACGAAAGGCAAAGCACCTGTTAGGTCGTTACATGCAAGAAATAAAGCAGGCAAGGAAAGCGCATTGCTTTCACTGGTTGAGTTGCAGTTTAATACTTTTGACGTCAGCGTACGTGCACAAATTAAACACATTCCTCGTTCTCACTTTTCCTATTATCTACTCTCAATCATCCAGTGCAGGGAAATAAACCAGACATTTGATCGCTGATACATCTGCCAACATTTTTGTCTCTGCCCAAGAATTGCATCAAATTGTCAAATTCTCCAAAAGGACAGTTTATTTATTCATAATTTTCTAGTGTCAACACACTCGGCAGTATCCGTAATGGATTTCTTAATATAAAATTGAGAATAATTCGTATTGGTTTTACGTCTGTGTTTTTACTTCTGCCGAAAGTGACAAAAAATTGATCGCAGTTCTGTTATATATCACTCATAATGTGCGTAAGTGCGTTTTGGAATAAATTGAGACCACGGAATTCTCATTTTTGCCTGATTTTAAAAAAAAAGTTCTTATAATTGAACTCCCACTAACAATTCAACTTGGTAAGAAAAATCATTCCTTATACGAAAACAGCAACCTTTTGTGACAACACAAATATTTTTGTTAATCAAGAAGGTGCGTCATTAGCAATAAACCAACGCATAGAACTCTGACAGAAAAACAAGTGTGTCAGCTCTGCAGATAACGTTTCTTTCATACACTTCTTACAACCTACGCACTATGGTACCTCTTTTGATTTGGATGGCCAACAATCGACAATCGAAAAAGACGACTCCCCGCTGTCATGCGAGCAGCAGACCGCCTTGCCGATTGCATGCGCGCTGGCGCCGACGTCCTACATACCGATAGCCTCCCCACGCTCGGCCTATGGCCCCGTGTAGCGTTCGGCCACGGCTATCGGAAGAAGTGTATTGTTTCCGAATGGTGCACCGTTAGGTCACGGCCGAAACGGCTGGTTGTAGGGATCGGCTCTCTTGTTCTTCGCACCGGCACAAGCTGACCCCTCTTCGACCTCTTTTCTTCATGAAGTCTCGCGCGTTTGCCGAGGCCCCGAGCCCTTTGTTCCTGGCGATGGGCAGCGCCTGAATTGCCGGCACGCAGCCGGAATCAAAGGAAGCGTAAACGATACGCCAGGATTGGAACTTGGTGCACGTGGCCCGTTGATATCAGTTGCCTGTGTAGCGTTTTGGATGGCCCCAAATTACGCTCGCGTAAATCGCACACGAAATTGCGTGATTATCTGTTGTGTCTGAATGCAGGCATGCACACCAGGTCAATACTACGCTCGAGTGCATACTCTATCAAGCCGCTTTGTCGTGAACAGTTGAGTGCCTCACCATTTTTCTTCTTCTTTAAGATTTTAATACTTAATTTGAATATTGAATGAGAAGACCTGGTGCCTTTAGGTTGTATACGAGGGACTATTGGTCAGCTGCCAGCTCGTCATAAGTTAACGTGCTACGTGACACCTCACAGGCTCATAAAAGAGCATGCCACACTCGCCGCCAAGGCTACAGATGGCGCTGACCTGCACTCCCCTTTTAAATTCACATATATACCCAATAATGTGGCTGGGAGGATAGTCGCCATGGTAGCTCAGTGTTATTCAAAGGTCACAGGTTCGGTTCCTGCCCATGGCAAGTTATCTTTTCACCCACTTTTCTCTCTTGACATTTACATTACTGTTCGGCCTAATAACTTCCCCTATACTTTCCTTGTCAATGCTGTCTGTTAGATCTGATAATTAATGAGTCAAACACGGAAAAACGAGCTCTTAAGTATACTCTTCTTTCCTTATATATATATAGTGGGACAAATACTTCAATGGGCCAGTTAGTCTTCGTGAAGGTCACAACGGGAGCGTTGTCAACAAGGATAAATATATTTATTTCCCAACAGTTTCGGGAGGGGTCCTCCCTTCATCAGGGGATGATCCTTGTTGACAACGCTCCCGTTGTGCCATATATATATATATATATATATATATATATATATATATATATATATATATATATATATATATATATATATATATATATGTGTGTGTGTGTGTGTGTGTGTGTGTGTGTGTGTGTGTGTGTGTGTGTGTGTGTGTGTGTGTGTGTGTGTGTGTGTGTGTGTGTGTGTGTGTGTGTGCACACATGCGATTCTCGTTTCCCGGTATTTTTTTATCCTAACAATCAAAGGGAAAGAACTAGCCATCTCCAATCGGTAGCGACAACTCGTTCGTGTCTTG